TATATATATATATATATATATATATATATATATATATATATATATATATATATATATATATATATATATATATATATATATATATATATATATATACGTAGGTGCCGATTTGCAATGTTGGCACTATTTTGAAATCAGACAGCATGTGCTGCAACCAATACTAAGTGCGACTGTACGTACTCGGGTGCGTAGGCTCTCTGCCGTCGCCTCACAACTATTCGTAAACCTAACTGTTGCCTCGTTCATTTTTAGTGGACCAGCGGCGGGTATAGTGGGAATCACTCGTTATCTGAGGCGCATGTTCGTTTATTATTACCATAGCTTTTCTGGTTTGATTCTCAAGAAACGATTCTGCTGACAAGGAAAAAAAAAAAAAACATCACTGTAGTCTATCAGCCCATAGAATCTCCTAAAACTAACTATAGAGGGCGTAACTCTGCCGTTGCGGTTGTTTCAGCGATCATGGAAATGATGGGTGTAGTACAAGAATTTTCCTACAGTCTTGGGGGTGGCGAATCGCAATTGTGTCTCCATTTATTGCTGTGTTTCGGTTTTGTTTCGAAGAAAAAGAAAGAACCCTTTTGAACTTCGTGACCCGATTTGAAGCGGTAAGCCTGAAATGTTGAAGTAGTGAAGCGAAACAGCTGAACATTTTCCGACTGTCGTTTCGTGACAAAGCTGCTTCAAGCCGCGCGAAGCAAGATGAACGTAAAGTACGAATACTATAGGCAAATTCGTGTACTACCCATAATTCCCATTCTCGCTGAAGTACCATGCGGTGCTGCTCCCATAGTCACTAACGCCAGAGTTTCCGCTAGCGTACACACAGGAAACTGTATGCATCAGCCAACAAGGTTTTTCCAGCCAAGCGAATATGCGTGTAATGCAGCACCGAAAGCTCGGAACTGTTTGGCTGTGCCAAAGCTGCAATTTTCCACTGTGTGCACGGCGGCTGCCAAACGAACCCGTCTTCGATTAGCGTGCAAGGTTTCATACCTTTCACACACCACTGATCTGTTTATAAGACACGGCGTTGACCAGGGAAAGTAACTATAATCTATGTCGCCAGAATAAATCCAGTTAATAGAAAAAATTGTGCTGTATAAACACTAGCAGGACTACAAATTACCTTGGTAACGTACACTGTACTCAAGTGTAAAGGCAAATCAAAATAAAACAAGGGCCGCGCTAATTACTATAAACAAATAATTCAGTTCATGCTAACAGCATTGCTGAATAGGATAGTAAAGGGCAGCTTTTGAACATTATGGAAACCTCATTTAAATAACTGCAGAGGCTGTTTACCGCAATATCCTACCATGAACTTGATGATGATGATGATGATGATGATGATGATGATGATGATTCCACAGACATGGCTCGTACCCACTCAGGGAGATCGGCCAAGAATCGATGACTTAATTAATTAAGATTTTTTTTTCAATATCGAAACCACCCACCAGAAAAAAGAAAGAAAAAAGAAAAGACACCCTAGGCAGAATGAAAGGAGTGCAATAGTTGCTTGCCTTGAAAACATCGTCGTCTATTTTTTTTTTCGTCGTCTCGAAGGAAATAATTTTGAAAGCTTTTTTTTTTATACTGTCTATGCAATCATGCTTCTTTCTCGCACCAAAGCTAGCCACATGATGCAGTATATTACGTGTGCATATTTTTGCTGGAGTTCGTAACCCTCGTTTACGCTTACATACGTGTGGCATGACCGGGACACCCTCAGGCTGTTTGATCAGCTTTTATTCTTCTGCTCTCCTTCAAAAATATTGTTGTAAATAAATAAATAAATAAATAAATAAATAAATGTTTCTGGAAGAAACAAAAAGGTCGTTTTTTTCAATACTACAGCAGCAACAGCAACAAAATACATTTCGAAATGGGAAGCTTGACTTACGCCGATACGTTACAAAGGACGACACGGGAAATGTATACACTGCGCCGACATCCTTCCGGCAAGGTGGTCAGTATAGGCAGTTGTGCGTGACACAACATTAACGTAAACCCGCAGGTAGTGAAACCAATGATATTATAAGGGACGTTGACTGTACTGCTTTAGGTATATATTGTTTTAATTGATGTCGATGTGAACAAAGGGAAGTTCGAGCCGCCAGTGGAGGCCTGCTACTCGGTCAATCCCCTGCATTGGGTATGAGCCATGAGACGAGAAGAACAACAACAACAACAAAAAAAAGGGATTGAGCTAGCGATTGGTTGTGAAATAGACGCGCCTTCAGAATTGCATTCCTTTTGAGGGCAACGAAATGGCCGACTGGCTTGCTCGTAAAATAAGCATCCGAGCACTGGCCGCAACCCTCGAGGAACCACCGATACATCAACGCGTCGTCCTCAAAAACTAAAGAGGAGAACGAAAAAGATACATCCGGGGCTGTGTTCCAATACTCACCGTAGACGGCTGAATAGACAGCTAAATGGACGGCGGCCATCTTAAGTCCCATTCCAATTCTCACGTAGCCAGCAAAGTAGACAGCTCCGAGAAGACCGCATCGTACACAAATACGATGCAGGCTACTTTGCTGTCTAAACAAGATGGCGGCTCAACGAATCGCTCAGATAGATCAAATCTCGCCAGAATGGCCGTCTGCACACAAGCAGACGCTTTCCGAGACGCTCAATGTGAGTAAAGTTTATTTGTTTTTGATTTCAACACGAAACAAGCCGGAAATTACAACTGTTACGTTTGTTTCCTTTAGCTTTTTCTTCTCGACGTGAGGTGGCGCATCGTAGCGTAAAAGCTGTCTAAAAGTGTTACAATTCTCGGACAGCATGGGCTCGGTGCGGTCTTCTAAGCAGTCTGCGTAGACTGTCTACGTGCCGTGTAAGAATTGGAACACAGCCCAGATCTTACCGGAGAACAGGTGCCAGATTGGCGTCGAGGACAGACCAACGCGCACCCACACTTACAAAGAAACCACCACACAAGTCCCACAATATACGCACGAAGCGGTCCGTGGCGAACGGCCAACTCTCGCCAACAGTACGTGGCAATGCGAATAACGGCACCAAAACGTGAATTCTCCCCTTTTGGGGACAACATCTCGAGCGAGGTTGTGGCAGACCTGCCTTTCTAGCAGGGATCGGAAAAGCCAGCCGGCTTTGCTCGGCCAGGCCCAGCGTGCCGCAAAGGCCAGTGCAGTCCTGGACTGAGGACCCCACCCACTTGCTCAGAAACCTTTTATGAAATAAAAAGAAATCACCCTCTCTCTCTCTCTCTCTGTCAAAAGGCAATCTGTGTGCTTCAAGCTGAGAGTACAAGAAGTGCCAGCTTTTGGAGCTTTCGTATTTTGCCGTTTTACGTGTCACAATTCATTCTACCTCTGGGAACCACAATATATCATAAATAGCCCTTAGTACGTTTTGACCACCTTTTCAGAGCTTGTAAACGTATCCAATTTCAGCAGTAGTATCAAATGTCTTGCTTTGTAATTTGACCTGTTTATATATTTCGCCACAAAATTTCCTGCAGCCCTAATTGTTTTGATGACACATTCATAGAACAGCTAAAAACATCGAGGTACCACAGACAACATGAATAACGCCGTGACTCACTGGCGAAAAGCAGTCTCTTGGACAACAACCACGGCAGGAAGCTCGTGTAAAGGTTTATATTACTGTCGTTTATTTGTTGTGTCTCCGTTGCATCGAGGTGGATGTAACGTACGTAGCATTGCATGCGTCGCTTATAGGAAAGCGTATGAAACGGGAGAATACACAGCTGCCGAGTAGCCAGTCAAAGGACAAAAAGAAACTGCCGTCTGCAAACAGCGCTGTAGCAGACGACGCATTCTATCAATGGAGGGAAAAAGAAACGCAATCTCTTTCGTTGGACGTTGTTACATATGCCCAGTCCGTGCCGTGTCAGAGGCATGTTCTCACGTACGATATCTACCCGCGATCACGCCAATCTGAACCTATCACTTGTTTTTTCCAGTTCATTTGTTCTATTTTTTCCGCCGGTAAGTGACCCACTCAACGAAATAGGACTGGAAAGCTAAAAAAAAAAAAAAAATTCCGTTGCCCGACGTTCTATCACGGAGTTCGCGTCGGTCAAGCGCAGCTGCAGGGCTCGACTATGTGATTGCAGTTATCTCTCGAGCGAATCCCATCCCAAGCCGCAGCTGTATTAGTTTTTTTCCGACTGTGCGTGGGATAACTTATCGCACGCGAAAACCCCTTAGCGCCAGAGAGCAGCGGACGAAGAGACAGAAGAGAGCACGCAGAGAAAGAAGAATAAAATCCTGACACCACCAATGCGTTTGCAGACTGCGGAGAATTCCAGACTTGCAAGCCGCAAACTAAATGAAAAAATCCGAAAATACAACATTCTCATCGTTTGCGACAGCAGCGTTGTCAATTGTGGCGCGGGTGTTTGGCGCGTTAGTGCTGCGTTGTGTGACGCACGGGTGAACGGCGCACCAACTCCAAATGAAAACCCACCTACACGTGACGTCACTCACTGACGTTTCCGGCAGCTCCCATGACGTGCACGAAGCATCTCGGGAAGCCCGGCAACCAAGGCCAGGGGCGCTGAAAAGAGGAGAAAAAAAAAAAAAAAGTGGTCGCAACGGGTGCGATGAAAAGGGGGTTGTTGAACGCCGGTTTCTTATTTTCTGAAATTTTCAACTCTCGCGAAAAACATACTACAGTAACGAGCTGACCCACTGTCACGGTTTTAAGCCGTTCACTCGCGTTACAGTTGATTAGATAAAGAAAAATGTCGCAGCCCGAACCGGCTCAGAGAAGCTCATCTGTGGAGGCCGCCATATTACCTTCGCCGCCGGCAGGCAAACGACCACAGACGCGACGTCACGTGATCAGCGACGTAACTTCTCGGGCGAGCGCGGACCGTGTACCCGATTGGCTGCTCTCACGTGGTCCCATATCACCCGACGCTTTTTCGGCGTGCGGCTCCCTCCCGCACTCTTTCCCCTTAACAAAACCCCCTCGCTCCTCGCCTCATCCGCGGAACCCCTGCTGCCCCTCCTCGCTGGGCTAGTCTGTACCCCCTCCGCTGCGTCTGTATTTCAGCCGGCGGCTGCCAAGTCAAGTCTTCATTCATTCAATCGCTGCTTCTCGGTGCTAGTGAGCCCGCTGGCCGGTCGCCCCCTCCAGGAATACACAGCGACTACAAGAAAAGAAAAGCACGCTACACTCAACCATTTTAACAAGCAGCGGTCACCGATACAAGAAGCTCAACGATCGAGAAGCAGCAACCCCGCAATTGCTACCCCGGCTTCGCTTCACGCATTTATGAGGAACACCAGTAGCCGGCGACGTTAGACTTTCCGAAACAGCGACAGAAACGCTCAGGTAAGCGCAGGTTCGAGTGTTATACCGTGCAGCTGACACCGGGATGCCGTGGGCTTTCTCTTTCTACGGATACCAACCGCGTGTCTTGAGAAAACGCGACGCGAAACAAGGCGTTGGTGTTAGTTGTGTGCAGTGCGCGACGTGGCCCCCTTCAATTTGGAATGGCGGGGGGAACTGTTCTGACAGGGGCCTGCAGATTCGGAAGAGTCGGGTCGCCAGCGTTCCCTTCTTCTTTTTCGTTCGTGACCTAGACCGTCAGCGGTCCGCTAACCTCCGGTGCTGTGGTGTGCCCCTCTAGAGGAAGTTTTGCTTCATCCTCGCGGTCAGCAGCGGCATCCTGCGCGTTGCTGCACAGCCATGCATGTCCACCGACATGGGTGATTTCGATTTCGGCGTTTGCCTTTAGCCCATTCCAAGGACGCGGCTGGTCTGCAGAGCCGCTCCTTCGCTATGCGCAGTGCTGTATATTGTGCTGCGAAGGGTTTCCTTTATCGATGTGCCGGCGCTTCACTAAAAACCTCGCCCCGAGCGCGCCGCTTAGCAACGCATTGCGGTAGTTCCGGCGTGGGTGCCTGCAAAACTGGAGGCTATTGTCATCGCCGTGTCATACGCCGTTTGTGCCGGTTTTTGGCGTGATTTTGTGACAGTACGCGATAAAGTGCATGCATTTATTCCACGCGTAACAGTGCGGTGATATCTGGAAGTAAGGACAGTGTCGGCGAAAAAGTTCGAGCAGACGATCATAATTTGTGAATGGATGATCGTCTTTCGTTAGTAGGCGATCAGTATTTCTGAGCAGACGATCGTCTTGCGGTACCATACGATCATAACTTCTGAACAGATTATCGTCTAGCGTTAGCACGCGATCCGAATTTGCGAACAGACGACCATCTTTCGTTTACAGGTGATCAGAATGGGTGAACAGACGACCGTCTTTCCTTAGCAGACGATCAGACTTTGTGAACAGACCATCAGCAGCAGACGACGTTCGTTTGGAGACACTTTTTTTAGGAACAGCTGTAGATCTTCTGCCTCTTTTCCAATCGTTTGCGTCTTAACCATGGGTCTTAACCGTGTCGTCGCGTGTTAACCAGTGCATTAACTCTATGAGATCACGTTCGCGATTTAAACAGAACTGCGCGAGCATACCATATCGTAGTAAGAGCCAGAGTAATTAAGGAAGTGATTGGTTTTGGTCGATCGTAGTTTCCTACATCAAACGAAAGTCCTGCGGTGTAAGCTTGTCTAGGTTTCGTTCTATGATAACGCATGCATTGTTGCATGAAGTACATTAGCTCACGCTCGGTCTAGCCGCTGCCTCAGCTTTCTACGCATTCCACCTTTTCTGATGAAGCTGAAGCGTACCACTTTCTCGAGAAATCCAGTGCATGTAGCAGACGACGCTGAACTCGCATGCGGCGCTTTGCAACCTGCATGCACTAAAGATGATGCCGCTTTCATTGACACGTGTTTGGTAGTCGGCGCAGCTGTCGAGTCTATTCTGCACGTAAAATGTCATCTTTCCTAGAACTTTGTGGGGATCATTGTTACGACGTACTTCTGTTGATTCGAAAGAGAATCCTTTTTGTTTTATGCAGTTAAATGCCTTTCAAGCGCAGCAAAGGTCGCGTTGGGAAGAAACGTCGTCTGCTGCGTTGCCTGGGACGTTTTTGCATCGTGCACTTCCCGTTATTATGCGCCCCCCGTAACGCGACATACAACCTTTTGCGAAGAGATAAAGCATTGCAAGAGCGATAAAAAAAAAAAATAAGCGAAACACGCGATTCGCGCCCTCTCCCCAACTCGCCGCTGCCAAAAAAAAAAAAATTAGTCGTCTGTTACTTCGCGCGATCAGCCTGCCGATCACGTCATGTCACGTGTTCGAAACCGGTGCTCCTGATTGGGCAACGGCTCTTTGAACGAGTCGCACGTCGGTAGGCCCATGGCAACGTCAAAGCGAGGCTGAATGTGCGACGTGTATCTCTGAAGCAAATGTGGAAGTAAAAGAAAAAGTTAAAAACTGCCGGCGTTCGCGGCATTGTGGCGCTGTGTCGTCTGCTGGTGCTCCTAGCGGCCGCTCGCGTTTCATCCTTTCCTGTGAGGACCTTCAAGATAGTGGCCGTGCTGTAGGCCAAAGTTGTAGCCCTTCTGCTGGCGCGTCGTCTGCTATTCGCGGCGGTGGGTGCTAGCGTGCAATTTTGTTTTTTTTTTTCTTTCTCAAAAGCCTTTCGAGTACGGCACGATTAAAATGAGCTGGAAAGCAGTCTTGAGAGAGGGTCAACGAGAAAGAAAACCTTCCGGAGTGTGCGTTTTGGAGCTCCTTTTTCCTACAGCGCGAAGTTAGCAGATATTTCCTGGTGGTGAACATATTCGAGCGCGGTCTAAAACGGCGCCTCTGTGCCAACATGTAGTAGACGACACACACCATATTTCGTCCCAGGTCTATATTCTTGTGTTCCAGTTAGCGTTTTTTTTTTTTCTCCGTACGAGCACGTAACCTTTCGCTTAGCAAAAGCTGATTCGCCACGTTATAAGTTTAGCTGTTAGCGAATGCAGTGGTTGTGTGAACACTAAGCAAGTGTTGAAGATCATGCTTACTGGCATCAGGTACCGATGTACTCAGCTCAAAAGGTGGTGTGCCGCACGCTTACGAAGCAGACGAATTCGGTCCTCGCGTAGTAGAACACACACTACCGCGCGCGCTGATGACACACATGCCCGTAATATACATTTCCCCGGGTGTAAGCTCTTGTGCTCCAGTTTGAGTTTTCTTCCCGCACAAGCTAGTATAGTCTTTTTTTTCTCTGAACAAAAGTAAATTACAAGATGTATGTATCCGTGCTTTAACGAATATTGACTGGTCCTCGAATACACAAGTGATGTCAGTAAGCAAGCGCGGAAGGTCATTCGTTGCTCAAAAGACGCTGTGCTGGACTACGAGCGCGCACAAAGCAGACGATATTTTTTTCACGTAGCAGACGACCGTGCGAGCAGACGACGCTTAAAAAAGGAAACCGGGTCAGTCGCGTGTTCACCAAGCTTTTTTTTTTCTTTTCCCAGGGTCAGCTGAGTGAATGCGGCCGCTTGTCCGCAACATTCGTAGTCCTGGAGTTCGCGTATACACAAACCCTTCTCTCCCGTGCGCCATTAAAAAAAACAAAACAAAGGAGTAATTGTTCGAGAAAGCAATCATGGTCTCGGAATCAACGCTCTGCCAAGCTAATCTAGCTGCTCATTTCTTTTGTTTTTATGCGGTACATAAAAGGACGCTTGATGTGACTGGGTGTGTTTATGTCGTCCGGTTTATATTACGCTGTTGTTAGACCTTTCTCTTTATACTCCCCCCCCCCCTCTCTATCTAGGAAGGCCTTTTAGCTTGGCCGTATGTCAGCAACCTTTTATAATTCAGTAATTCATTGCGTCATAAGATTGTAATTAAGGCGCCTGGCTGTTACACTTAGTGTTACGTTCCCGAGACTGTCACGTCGTTAATGACCGTCCCTGGTACCGTAAACGTGGGGTGAAAGCGCAGTTCGGGGAATTGTGAATACAGGCGCTGGTTTAGCATTTATCCGGAAAGCGTCGTTGTTTGTACGATTGAGGTGGTTCGTTGTCTCGCCGCGACGTTCTGGACATAGGATTCACTTTTCTTATTTTCACGGCATACGACTTTAGGTGTTCTCGGCAGCTGCTTCTTTTGTTTCCGGGATTTCAGCTTGTGCATAATGAAGACTCGGGAAGATTAATCGTCTGCTCCAACGAGAGCAGAAGTCTATAAAAGCAGACGGCAGTAACCCGGCCTTCACGCCTTTTGGTTAGCATTACTCCCTATAGTTCTGGGAAGTTATAGCTAATAGCGAAAAAGCTGTGACGACTAAGAAAAATGCGTTTCGTCTTAACGTGTACTTCGCTCTGAAGAACTTACGTGGTGGAAAAACAGCTGGCGGCTGGTTAAATTCTCGTTCTATTACGGGTCTTCCTGCATGCTCCGTCCACGTGCTCAGCGCCAGCAGTTTCGTGTGACGTAAGCCGTTCTTTGTGGCCCCTCGCGACGGAACAAAAGCGAGGAAATTAGTCGTTTTCCCGTCTTGTTTATTTTTTTTTTCTCGTGCGGAGGTCCCCTACGTCAGCGCTACCGAGTAGAGCGTCCGCACGTTGTTGGCATGTTCACGAAATTCCGCGTGCGTTTTGTACGACCCGAAATTATCATTGTCCCCAGGGTAGTAGTTCCGTGCAGTTATTCTTTTTATTCGTCAAGCTGCTACACACGACCGTACTGAAGCAGCAGACAGTTTTCGTCTGGTATATAAATAAGCATGTACTGTAGCAAATGGCAGACACTTTTCGTCTGCTGTATGCAACCTTCTTTGTCGTCTGCAACCGTCTGCGGGCGTTTTGTTGCAGACGAAAAAAAAAGAAACCTGCTCTATGGCTACTAATCCCGTATTTTGATGCTGCTCGAAGGTACTCGGCGAGAGTTCGCTTGCACCTTGAGTGTACTGTACGAGGGACGGACACTGTCGTTCTTAACGAAAGGGAACACGTGATCGCGCGGCCTGCGCTCTGCGGCGGCTTCCTTCAGGACCGTCACCAACCGACAGCAAAAGAAGATACGTTGGCTTTTGGCGTCACCTATTGGCAAACAAAACGAGTTATGGCCGCTGGACAAGCCCTGCAAGATACTGAAGGTAGTCCTTGCAGAGAGCAAGTCATGCGATCGCGTGTTCCCTTTCATAAAGAACGACATTGTACACTCGCGCGTGCTTTATTCCTTGTCTTTCTTTTGAACAAAAAAGTGTGGCGGTTTGGGCTAGATGATGTCATATGACGATAGTTGTAGCGCGAGAACGGAACGACGACAAAGGGGCAAGGAAGTAGACGAAGTTTGCGACTTTTCAACAAAGTCGCGAACTCCCCCACGGGCCATGTGTAAAACCAAGGCGAACCAGAAACACTTATAACGGATGATTATAGAAAGACATCATCGCTTCGAAATAAAA